CACGGGTCCTGCGTCTTCATTGGACGCCGCGAGCCCGGGGCCCTGCAGCGCAGGCGCGGCCTGGACACGCCCTTCGGCTCCAAAGCATCGGTGAGGGGTGGGATAGAATGTGCGTTTGATGAGGGGATCAGCCTTTCTATTGGTCAGCTCCAGGAAACCCCGCCTTCGGTACATTTTTAACCAATGGAAGTGCAGCATTCTTAATTTAAACTGTGTATAAAGCTTGGCTGGGTCAACGACTGTAGTGCGCTTGAGTTTTGAACCGCGCGCCGGAGTTTGGAGGGTACTTCGCCTGGTTGCCTGGATTGCAGGTCGGGATGACCGTCCCCTCCCTCGAGGAGCTGGACTCCTTCAAATACAGTGACTTGCAGAACTTGGCCAAGAGTCTGGGCCTCTGGGCTAACCTGAGGGTAAGGAGCGGGCGGTACCGAACGGTAGCGGGTGGGGTAGGCTGAGCGGCCTCGCGGAGAAGCGGTGGAGAGGGACCGAGCGGGCCCCTGCGGGTGAGGGAGTAGGTATGGTCTCGAGTATCGCTTCTACTGCAAAAGTGGGGCGGAAGGGGAACCTTATTCTTCACCTGATCTTGAGGCTGACTTTTCTGGGGGCTCCCATAGGCCTCGGCTTCAAAAGGATTGGTTTGGTTTGGTTTTATTGGAAATACTCTGATACTTCCCAGGGCATCAGTTACGAAATGCAGGCCCAGAAAGCTCAAGGAACGCTCTAATGCCCATTAATTGTAGGCAGTCGCGGAAATAACTGCCTTGGCTTTTGGAAAATTCAACATAGAAGCACATATATAATTTGTAATAGCACCCAGAATCTCTTAATACTTTATTGGGGGACCTGGAAGAAAGGATTGTTTTTAAGGGACCATCCCTATGGACACATTTTTATAACTCAGCCTTGATCTGGAATGATCGTTCATTTATTGATCACTATTGTGGTGTTTCCAAACCAGTAAGGTCTTTGACTCCGAGGCTGCAAAATGTTGGAGGGAAATGTGGCGATTCAGTTTGGGATTGGGTTTCTGTATTAGATTCTGGTGGCATTTTCTCATATAGTGCTAATGTATACTCCGGAGATTTGTTCTTATGGCCTTTAAATGGTTTAAACAAAATAATCAGTGCTCAGGTATCTGTTGTGGCAGAATAATCTAGGAGTGTCTTTGGAGATATTCCTGAGCTATGAAGTTTAATGGTTCCCTAATACTTCGTAAACAAAGCCGAATACCTTAGCTTAAATTCCTTAGGCTTTTTGCAATCTGGCTAGAATCTTTTATCCAAGACTGACTGCATCGAAACTTGGTACCTTTGCCCATCTTATTGCCTTTGCTAATTTTGACCCTTCGGCCTCAGATCACCTCCTTTCTCTTGTCTTCTTTATCTGCACGAATCATTTCCATTTACTCTTATTTTCTCCATTTTATTTAATTTATTGGGGTGACTTTGGTTAATAAAATTAAATAGTCTTCAGGTGTACAATTCTGTGATACATCATCTGTATATTGTGTGTTCACCACCCCAAATTAAGTCTCCTTTCATCAGCATTTACCTCCCCATACCCTCTTCTATCTCCCCCATTCCTCCTTTTCCCTCGGGTAATCACCATACTGTTGTCTGTCATGAGTTTTGTTTTCTTTTGGTTTTTGCTTAATCCCTTCATCTTTTCCACCCAGCCCTGCAACTCCCCTCCTCTCTGTCACGGTCCCACTGAACTGTCATCACTGACTTGATGCCCCATCCCCTCCTCATTTCCTTAGCCACAGGTCCACCACCCCAGTAACCCCAGGAGCCAGCCCTCTGTGCTTTTAAACAGTTTAATTTTAAGTACTGTCTCTGAGCGCTTGCAGGCTTCCACCTTGTACTCTGGCTATTTGTGTGTGTGTGTTATCTTCTCTACTAAAAGTTAAGTTCCTTGGACTGGGATCTTTTCATCCTTCCACCTTGGAAGCCTTCACAGTACTACTAAGTCAGTACGTTTTATATAGGAGATGCTGAGTATTTATTCAGACTGTTATTGACACCTACTTTTTGGCAGTGCACCACACGATAGCAAGAGATTTACAGAAGAGGTTTCTACCTGAGTTCAGTGCCCTGACAGTAAGGCCCCACAACCACTTGGATCTCTAACGAGCTATTGCAAGTTTAGATCTTTTTCTGAAAGTCCCACCCATCATTGTCTCTTGAGGCACCTGATCTGAGGTAGTTAATTAATCATCTGTTTTCATAGAGGTGGAGTAGTACAGTATTTGTTACTATAGACCCCATTGCCTGCCTTGCACACAATATCTGGCACATAGTAGGTGTCAAATATTTGTTGAGAGGTACAATTCTCAGGCAAATTTGATTGTATAAGACTTTATTATAGCCAATGATAAAAAGACACCTTTGACATGGAGAAAATTAAATTTGGACTAGGTATTAAATTCTAGATATTGTTCATTGTATTCAGTATGATAATGGTATTGTGGCTATGTTTCTCTGTTATTTTTTTACTAGTAAGTCCTTATCTCTTGGTAATACCAAGTATTTACAGGTGAAATGTTAGATGCCTTGGATTTGCTATGAAATACTTGGGGGTTGTAACATGGGGGTCCATTACACTAGTCTCTACTTTTGTATGTATTTGAAATTTTCCATAATTAAAATATTTTAAATTATTTATAGTCGGTGCAGCCCAGGAGCTCCTTAAATCAATTGCCTTTTTAAATTCCAAGTACATAGCAAAAATGAATAAATTGCTCCAAGAAATTATCAAGATTTAGTTATTTTAAAAAATGTAACAGTTACACCAGTCTGATGACATGCTGAAGTCTCTACCCTAATGGCAAGCCCAGCTGTGTTCTCTCACAACACCCTGAGCTTCCTCATGCTGGCACTGACCCCACTGCGTTGTCCTTGCCTTTCCTTGTCTTGTCTGATTTCACTGCTGCGAAGTCTGTGAGGGCCGGGACCAGTTCTGTTTCAGTCTTTATTTTATTCCCAGAGCCCACTGCTCAAAGGACATTTGATGAATACAAGAACAGAAAGAAATGTTCAATGTATCTGTCTTGCTTATTTGATTTTTGGCTTTACTGTTAAGAACTTTAACTTTCCTGCAGGCAGACAAGCTGCTAAAAGCCTTGAAAGCCCACCTGAAACGGGAAGCAAGAAAAGAAAATGGAAATCAGGTAAGTAAGGTTTTTTCATCACCTGTTTAGCAAAACAATCATGTTTAGATAATGAATGATACACACAATTAGTGATGTCTTTTAAGACATACTGTTTATTACCAAAAAGATCATGATTGGTTATGGTGAATCCTTTCATAAAAACTATTGGTTGTAAATGGTGAAAGTGTCTTGCAGCAAGTAATCTGTTGAATAAGATGTTCTTGTACAATTGCAAAAGTTAACAATTCAGTTGCCAAAAGTTGTAAGAGATAACTTGATATGAGTAGGGAAGGAACTAGATTCAAAGTCAGAAAAACCCAGGTTAAGTAGCAGCTTTGTCATTTTCTAGTGTATCACCTGAGAAAACTCAAACTCCTTGATTCTTAGTTTCCCTGTTCTGAGTGAAAGATGCTTGTAGCAAATTGTAAAGCACTGCTGATGGCAGAGGTTGTCATGGCTGCTTTAAATCTACACCACAGATTTCTGAGGGCATGCCGCCTGAAAGGATCAGTGAAGGCTTCATTAGGGCCAGGTTTCTTAACTTGAAATAGGGAAAGTGTTGAAAGGCCTTATGGAACTGGGCCTTGGAGAGCATCTGTTATGTATCTGGAAATGAATATAAACATGAACTGAAAATCTAACTTCCTCTTCTCTGACTGTATATAGTCTTTGTAACTGTATTCCAAGTTATAAACATTTAAAATTCCTTTGATTCCAGGTTTTAATTAACTAAAAATAGACAACAAAAAAGAATTAATAGTTTTTACATCAACTAAATAATTTCATTTGTGTGTGTGTGTTTAAATGATTAAGGATACATGATTATAGTGCTATCTGAAATCCTGATTTACTTTGGATAGTAATTGATAAACTAAATTTAAAATGATCTATCATATTTTAAATTCAGCATCTCAGGAGCCATTCTTTTTTAAAAAGTTACACAAGAGCAGGATGCTAGTCAACATTCAGTCAGATAGAGAATTCCTAAGTGGTGAATCTATCAATCGTGAGCTTAGATTGGTGGAAAAATCTGACGGACAAAAAGTTTATTTAAGACTACAGGAGTCAGCACAATCCAAATACATGGCAAAGAGATCATTAATGTCCCCAAGGATAGACAAACAAGTAAGCTTCCAGACCCCCAAATCATTACCTGGGGAATGCCCAGGTGTGGATCATACCTGAATGAGTGTGACATCAGACCTTATGGAAGCCTAATTCTCTCACTAGAGGTCAGCCTTAACTATGAATTGGAGCAGCTCTAGATGTAGGTTAGTCTGGCTGTGTGCCTCTTCGGTCTTTTTTTTTTTTTTTTTTTTTTTTAATTTCAGAGATGAATGGAGAGGAAGAGAAAGATAGAAACATCAATGATGAGAGAGAGTCATTGATCGGCTGCCTCCAGCATGCCCCCTGTTGCGAATCAAGCCCGCAATCCAGGCATGTGCCCTGACCGGGAATTGAACCATGACCTCCTGGTTCATAGGACACTCAACCACTGAGCCACGCCTGCCGGGCCTTGGATTTAGATAAGTCTGTTAG